TACTCCTTGGAGGCAAGGATTCTGGGGCTTCATCTGACATACTTTGGACATGTTGCCAGGAGGGATGGGTCCTTGGAGAGGGACATCATGCTTGGGAGAGTGGAGGGACGGTGCAGGAGGGGGAATACCCTCTATGAGATGGATTGATTCGGTGACTGGGGTAATCGGGATGGGTGTGTCAGAGGCAGTGTGGTTGGCGCAGGATAGTGCAGGGTTTAGGGCTGTTGTGCATAGGGTCGCTATGAGTCGCAAATGACTCGATGGCACATAACAACAACAACAACAACAACCAAAATGTCCATCAACAAACCAATGGATTGTGGAAAGATAGTACATTCACACAGTGGAATTGTATGCAGCATCAGGAGCAAAGATGTCATAAAATACTGTATAACATGAGAGAGTATAGAGAACATTATGCTGAGTGTAAAAAAACCCAGTCTCAAAAGGATCACTACTTCCTAGGACCATTGATGTGAAAATATATGAATAACTGGGCAAGATATGTATAAATGCTTAAAAAGAGACAGGGAGGAGGGTGGAAATCACTAGGATAGCAGAGGTTAGTGGGCAGATGGAAGAGTGAAGGAATAGAAAAGATTGACTACAACTTTAAAAGATGGAGTGATAATAGGCATAAATAAATAATCATTATACAAATGACAGTGTATATGAATGATTGCATAAAACACAGTGTACAAGCATGAAACACAGTGTATGTGAATTATATAGAAACAAATAATGTTAAAAAAGCAACAAAAATTATTTTTAAAAAGAGGTAAAATAACAAGAGCATAAATACAAATGCAATACTTAAACACAGGGCACTTAGGGGTCTATAAATGTAATTAGTAGGATATTATTGATTTTTAGTATAGTTATTGTTATTATGGGTCATAATAACATGAAATCTTTGAAAGAAAGTTTTATTAAGGTGGAGAGTACTTTTTTAAAAAAACAAGCAGTTAATATGTTTTATGAATTAGTCAATCAAGTTTAAAAAGTTTTTTGTCAATTTTCATGGTAAAATATCTCTTAAAAGTATATCAGCTATTCATTTGTATATTTTGGCACAATATTACACATATTTATAATACTCAGAGTAAAATTTCCATACAAGTACATGGAAACTTATAATAAAAAAAAGTAAAATGTTAAATACCTGAAAAGCTGTCTTCATTGATAGCCTGCAGATTGTTTTCATTGATTTTAAGTTCTTCCAGTGTAGATGGCAATTCTGAAGGAATCTGTGTCAAATTGTTTCCATCGATATTCAGATGCAGTAAGTTCTTTAGATGCTTAAAAAAGCAAATTTCAGTTACTCTTCTATCTGGTCCCACATCTACATGCATGTGATTTATTGAATTATAAAAACTACAGAAGGAGAGAACTTTCAGAGAAAAATGTGTAGTGAGCTAAGCACAGCCTATACTGATGCACGCAGGCTTAGACAGTATTGTTGGAGGGACACGTTGGTCTCTGCATGCCCTGTGAGGCACATGGATCAGAAATGAACCATGTTTGGTGACTTTTTTTCACATAACCCACATTGTACAGTAGTTTTAGGAAGCTATACTAGCTACTGGATTGGTTGTACTTTGCTAGATCTCAGGTTTTAGATTGTTTACCTCAGCAACAGGTATGTTGTTTTGTGTCATGGAGTTGGAACTGACCCATAGCTGACTCTCCATCAGGTTTTCAAAGGCAGTAAATTGCTCAGGAGGAAATTGTCCATCCTTCTCCTGTGAAGCACCTGGTGGATTCAAACTGTGTACCTTTGGGATTGCGGCACAGCTTCTTACCACTAGGCCACCAGAACTGCCTTAATAGCAATAGACATAGCATTGACTAAGTCATTCATGATCTGGAATCAATGCTAACAATTAAGATGATCATTTTAATCCTGTAAGTGTACTTGTAAATCCTTTCCCTGTCTATACTACATTTTGCACACAGTGATGATATACATAAGGAATACCATCATGGAACTGAGTAGAAGCCTCACAGAGCATTTGGCTTTTTAAATGGCTTGCATGTATGTACACTTATTTACACATGTAAGTTTCTTCTCTCTTCGGCCTTCATTTCTCTGATAGGTCTTTTAGTGCTTGTTTTTAGTCAAATTGATTTCTTTCCAAGATTTTTTTTTTTTTAATTTTGTGTGCGTGTACCGTCAAATCAGATCTGACTGGTACAGGAGGATATTGCACCTCCTTCTCCGGCAGAGCATCTGGTGGATTTGAACCGTGTTCCTCTGGGATTGCTGTGCAGCTTCTTGCCACTAGGCCACCAGAGCTCCCCTCTTTCCAAGATTTTGTCTCTATTGTTTCCTGTTCTCTCCTCTCCCCTCTCATTTCCCTGACCTAGTGTTCCTCTGTCAGTTTTTATCTGAAATCCATTCAGTGATCCCATAGCCCTCCTCTCAAAGTAGTCTGCATCACTTTTGTCGCTGATGCTGTTGTTAGTCCATAGGAAAACTACTGGAAATAATGTATAACCACAAGCTATATTCAAGATAAAACTCCATTTTACTGTTTAGGGTATAGTAGACAGGAAACTTTCTTCATGTAGGAGAAAATGACCAGCTATTGATATTTCACTTTTTCTCCCCTAGCCCATATCAAATCGGAACTAGTGCAAGTTGTACAGGAAACAAGTTACATACATTGTTATTTGCAAATCAAATAATGTTTTTACCTTGAATGCTTTGGGGCCTATGCCTGAAGAGGTAATGCTATTTTTGCTCAAATCAAGGCTTTCCAAATTAGGTAATCCATTAAATGCTTCATCTGGGATGGAAGTGATGGAATTCCCTATGAGAAGCAGCAGTTTGTGACATAGGTGCACATATATACATACATCTTTGTACATAGATATTTGGAAGAGAAAGAATATTTAGAACAAGAGCGTGCTTGATATAAACAAATACATGTTTAGAAAAACAAGAAAGCTGTGACTCGGTTGTTTCACATACTCAAAATGTTCTAAGACCTGTGTGTTCTGGTGTAAATAAAGCTTTGTGCTTAAAACTACCAGAATGTGGTCTGTGTGATGATTCAATTTGCATTACACATTGTACAGCAAAGATGTCTTCCTGAAAGGTGTTTAGCTTTTGTTTTGACTGGGCTTTATATTTCCCCACTGACAGTTTTTAGACTCTGGACAGAAACATGACATTATTTTAATCCATGAAATAGCCAGCATATTCATATTCTCTGAGCCTTGGCTACCTTTTCTAAGTACAATACCTGGGCTGCTAATCTCTTCATTTCCCTTGTCATCTGTTGTTATGCCTCTCTGATTTTTGTCTTTGATTCTATATTAAGTTTATTCTAAAAAAATCCTGTTTGCTTTCATTTTAAAATGTGTGTGTGTGTGTGTGTGCATGCACACACACACACACACACACACACACACTTTACTTTTAACTAACAATAGTTGTTGATTATTTTAAATTAAAAAAATTCACCTACTAGAAGTATCAATACTATAAAAACCAAAAATGATGATCTTGTAAAGCCAAGATATGATAATGTGGCCAAACCATAGATCTTTCATAAGACTTTGTTGTTTCAGTTATTAGGTGCTGTCAAATCAGCTCTGATTAATAACAACGCTGTGAATGACAGATCTGAACCTTGCTCTATCCATACCATCCTCCTGCTCTCTGCCATGCTAGAACCCAGTGTTCCAATCACTGAGTGAATCCATCTTGTTGAGGTTCTTCCTCTTTCTCTGATACTCCACCTTTCCCAATATGATGTCTTTTTCTAAGGACTGGTCCCTGTTGACAGCATGCCCAAAGTATGTCGAAGTGAGAGGAAGTTTCATCATCCCTACCTTTTACGAGCACCTGCGTGGGATATTCAGTATTCTTTGCCAGTACCACAATTCTAAGGCATCTGTTCTTCTGTCAACCTTCATTATTGAACTTTCACATGCATGGGAAGGTTGGATATATCATGGTTTGGATCAGGCATACTACAATCTTCAAACTGACCTAGTTACTTTGGAAAGATCCTTGATGACAAATTTTCCAAGTGCAGCATGCCTTTGATTTCTTGACTGTTGCATTCATTGGTGTTGATTGTGGATCCGGGTAAAATAAAATGATTGACAACTTCAGTCTTTTTTATATCATGATGTTTCCTATGGTCCAGTGGTAAGAATTTGTTTTCTTGATGTTGAGATATAATCCATGTGGGAGGCTGTGTCTTTAATCTTCTGCGTAAGACTTTAAACTTCAGAAATAAAATTTTCCTTAAACCTACGGCATCTGGCACACAGCTAAAGAGAGAAGAGCCTTATTAAAGCTGAAGGGTCACTAAGCATGAGACCTCATATGAAGAAAGGGTTTTGAAGTTGCAGTCAATTTGATTCTAGGACTGTATGCATTTCCCAAAACTCATTGAGCTATGCATTAAAAATTAATTTTACTCAGTAAATTATACTTTCATATAACAGACTTAAAAAACAAAAAGGTCAATAGAAAATTGAAGATTTTATTTGAAGGAATTTTCTTTATACCTCATCATTCTCCATGTAGATGAGTTGTGAAAAGACATTAAGGACATCATCCATAAAGAAAGGGAAAAAGTCATTAAAAAGAAGAAAAGAAAGAAAATACCTAAATGGACGTCAGTAGATAATCTGAAACTTGCACTAGGATGTAAAGAAGCCAAAACTAGGAAGAAATGCTGAAATAAGAGAGCTGACAAGTAGATTCCAAAAGACAGGCAGCTCAACAAAACATCAGGGAGTATCTCCATGTCTATTCAATCTGTGTGCTGAGTAAATAATTTGAGAAGCTAGTCTATATGAAGAAGAAGGTGGCATCAGGACTGGAGGAATACTCAACAACAATCTGGTATTTTGCAAATGACAGAACTTTACTTGCAGAAAGTAAAGAAGAATTGAAGCATTTACTGAAGAAAATCAAAGACTATAGTCTTCAATATGGAATACAGTTCAACATCAAGAAAACAAAAATCTCACATTGAACTGATAATATCATTATAGATGTCATTGTCAATGATTTCATTTGACTTGGATCCACAATCAGCAATCAGGTTATTACAGCAGTCAAGAAATTAAAAGACGTGAAGGATTGGCCACCCACTTCTGAAACAGCAGGCCTCTGAAAACCCTATGCACAACAGAACACACGCAGACTAACAGAAAGGGCAACCTAGGTAGAACTATCAAGTGTGGAAATACAAAGGAGGAGAAACAGTTGTAAGCAGACCCTAGTGATTGGAACATGGAATGTGAGAGCCATGAATGTAGGAAAATTCGAAAT